TATAATACTCCTAGGGGGAGAAAAAAACAAGGAAGAAAAGCTTTATGATGCTGGATTTATCAATTACTTCTGTTATGACCCCAAACACAGATTCAACAAAAGCAAAAACACACAAAAGAGACTGTATCAAATATACAAACTTTTGCACAGCAATGGAAACAACAGGATGAAAAGGCAACATTTGGGCCATCTTCCACTGCTTTCCCAGGTGCACTAACAAGGAGCTGGATCAGAAGCGGAGCAACCAGGACTCAAACAGATGCCCATATGGGATGCCATTATTGCAGGTGACGTTTTAACTTGCTGTACCACATTACCAGCCCCTATAATTTTTTTTATTTTCTGGAAAAGGTGTCTTGAAGCTAAAAATGGAGAACCCTTCATTTTATGAGAGAAAAAACATTTCCCTCTTACTTTCTTTTTAAAGGGATTTTAAAGCATTTTAAATATGGAATGGTCAACTTGACTTTTTTTGTGAAAGGCTGAGAAGAGGGAGGGAGAGATCCTTCCATCCTCTGGTGCAGTCCCCAAGTGCCCACAAGAGCCAGTAGTACATAAGGTTGACCAGGAGCCACTAACCCAACCTGAGTCTACCAGGTAAGTGGCATGGATCCAGCTTTTTTTTTTTTTTGGCAGGCAAAGTTAGACAGTGAGAGAGAGAGACAGAGAGAAAGGTCTTCCTTCCGTTGGTTCACCCCCTAGATGGCCACTACGGCTAGTGCACTGCACTGATCTGATGCCAGGAGCCAGGTGCTTCCTCCTGGTCTCCCATGCAGGTGAAGGGCCCAAGCACTTGGACCATCCTCCACTGCCTTCCCGGGCCACAGCAGAGAGCTGGACTGGGAGAGGAGCAACTGGGACAGAACCGGCGCTCCAACCAGGACTAGAACCCAGAGTACCAGCACTGCAGGTGGAGGAGTAGCCTAGTGAGCCATGGTGCTGGCCTGGACCCAGCTTCTTTAGCCATCATTTGCTGCCTCCCACGATGTGCATCAACAGAACCTGAATTGAAAGCAGAGCCTAGACTTAAACAAAGGGACTCTGATATGGGTTGCAGGCATCCCAACAGCATCTTAATGGCTACACCAAATACCCACCAGAATGTACCACCTCTTGAAGAGGGAACTACCAGTCTTTGTAAGTAGCAGTGGCTGCATCCCCAACACAGGTTTGAAAACCCTAAGGAACTCAACAAGGTAAGTTCTTCTGTCTCAGACTTTGGAGAAATCTTTAACTCAACAAAGATTAATTGCTAAGAGATTTGACCTCTGGGGGCAGGAGAATTCAGAGAAGGAATCCTCAGAACTTAGTTCACTCAGCTTCTAACTGGTCCCTTGGGAACAGAGAATCAGCAGAATTTTTTTTTCTGCCCAGACCAGTGTCTGCAGAGGGGAATCAGGTGCTTAGAGACAGGAGCATCAGGAAGATGTGCCTAATGAGCAGAGGAAGGGAACTGTAAATACCACGCTGTCATTGTTGGGCAAACTTGGCCTGGACAGCATATGCTGATTTGCTTTCGGACTTTGCTCTGGCTCAGGGATTGGTGCTTTACTCCTACCTGCTGTCCTGTGTTTGGGGAGACAGAGCTTCAGTGTCCATCATCAGCCATTCAGGGAGGAGTCGCGCTCCCACATGGAGATCCTGAATCTACAGAACCCATTCAGGTGAGACCAAAAACGGAGTGGAGACTGCAGGAAAGATTCAGCAAGAGTGGAAGCTGAGAATGTTAAATTGAAGTCACCGATGGCCAAATCAGTAGGTTTCACATAGAGATTTTACTGTTTGCTTGCACACTTAATTATTTATTTCTATCTGATGTTTAAAAAGCAAAAGTGTCCATTGAAACCATCAACAAGAGACTCATTGTTGGCTATGAAATGATGGTAATGGAATCCAAAGCACAGCAGGGATTGACAAGCAGAGAGTAGACTCTTTTCTTTTTAACATTTATTTATTTATTTATTTGAGAGGCATAGTGAGAGAGAGAGAGAGAGAGAGAGAGAGAGAGAGAGAGAGGTGTCTTCCATCCACTGGCTCACTCCCCAATTGGCTGCAATGGCCGAAGCTGTGCTAAGCTGAAGCCAAGAGCCAGGAGCTTCATCCGGGTCTCCCATGTGGGTGCAGGGGACCAAATACTTGGGTCATCTTCTACTGCTTTCCCAGATCATATTTTAAAGAAGAACATGGATTGAAAGGTCTTTGGGATTGAAGAGAAGAGAAAAATAGGGTGGTAGCTGTGGAGAGATATTTTATTTTTTTATTCTTTTATTTTTTCCAAGCCTTTTTTTTTTAG